GTGATGCGGCAATAGCAAAAAAGGAAACCTGTGTAACGGCTCCTGTGCGACTTTGCATGTAACGCCCTGCGTGCGGTAAACATGTGCCAATGACTAAATTATGTAACGCTTCATGGCCTCACGATCACACTGCGACCATAATAATTATACTTTATAGCAATAAAAACTGCTTTATGGCAGTTTTCTAAAAAAAGTTATTGTGTTCTAGTCCATGGACGGACCCCGTCTAAAAAGTAAGAAATTAACGAAATGTGATAGCCGAAAATTAAAATTTCACACAAAACCTCACAATAATCACAACAGTTGAAATGCTGCTTTCAACACTAAACTTGTACTGCACCAACAATTGGCAACATGCATGTCATGTATGCATAGGAAAGAGGATCACGAGGGGAAAAGGTCTTCTACATGTATCTTTCATTCTGTGTGTGATTATTGTGAGGTTTTGTGTGAAATTTTAATTTTCGGCTATCACATTTCGTTAATTTCTTACTTTTTAGACGGGGTCCGTCCATGGACTAGAACACAATAACTTTTTTTAGAAAACTGCCATAAAGCAGTTTTTATTGCTATAATTTCTTTTGTTTTTTCTGTCACCAATATCAATATGTAAATGATGGCCTTCACATCATATCAATAATTCAATACCGTATTATACGCATTGAGGTGCAAGCCTTTTCTTGCAGAAAATGGCACAAGGCTAGCATGTTCTTCTGCGGGGAAACATGTGAGTAGTGATGGACCGTGGTGATACTTTTTTTTATACTGAGGTCATTCTGTGCATGTTGCTGTAGCAGTATTTCATGACTCTGTCATAAAATTGTCTTGCCTTTCAGATATTTCAGATTTCCCCACCCTCGATCAGATTTATTTGAGAAATGTAACCAGGTGCGTGTCGCAGATGTTTTTGTTGATTCTGTGTTTATAATGGTTTATAATCATGGGTTATCGTGATAAGGTCATTCTGCATCATATTGCACTGAAATCGTAATCCTGTTGATGTCGATACAACTTTTGGAAGTAGTTCGATGACTTCAAACTGTTAGTCCACGATTTTCTAAAACAACACAACAAAGGAGGAACAATAAACATGTATTAAAATGTAAACAAATACATTGCTGAGTCCGACACATCGTTCCAACAACTACACTGATCCTGAGGATAAAAGGGGCAAGGCTATGCTTGGAGGTACTGAGAGATAAACAAGGCACTCCATAAATAATAAAATCTTACACATCTTTTGGTGAGTATGAATGATATCCAGTTGAACCTCTTTAGGACGAACACCAAGGGACCGATGGTATTTATTCTGTGAGTTTGTCTTAACCTATTTTATATATATAACCAGTGAATACAATTATTTCTCCAATAGACATACGAATAGATTTCTTCTACAGCGAAAGATTCTAAGCCACACCAACTCATTGACTCGTCTCGTATGAAACAAATGAGTCACTAGAGAACTTTCGTTCTACGTCATGAAGTGCGATACTTCGCACGAACTTTCGCAACTTTGGACGCGAAACTTGCAGGGAACACGAAATGAACTGTCGTAGGAAATTTCGTGAGATCGGGTCATGGCGTACGTGCACTTGGCCCGCGCAAACTACGAAAATGTGCAGAACGCAAAATTCGTGCAAAAATTCGTACACACTTTCGCAAGGACTGTCGCGAAACTTCGTTCGAATTTTCGTTTTGCAGAACCTCTCTACTGAACGTTTCTTTAGCAACATGACGGCAACTGAAACAGCAATAGAGAAAGTACGATACATGCACATTCTTGCAGGTACTACTACAAACAGACTACAAACAGATTGCAGATCGTAATTCTTGCTTTGGCGGCACGAAACTTTTTTTGGGGCAGTGCAATCTCGGCGGTACTCACAAATAATAAATCAAACAGCCCAGACCCGAGTAAACAAATCCAATCACACAAGTACGAGATCTTCACGAGACTGCACCCATTGGCTTGTTTCGTATGAAGCAAACAAGTTTACTGAACCTCTCCACAATGGAGATTTTCCCTGATACCGTATGCGAATTTATTTTGCAAACTCGGTCAACGGGTCCTTGAATCTTTCCCTCCAGATTGGGAACTGCCAACGATAGTATGCCACTGACCAGTGCCTTACTTGTAACGTACCAATGTACAATGAATACCGGTATGAGTATTTCGACAACACATCTGACATGAGCCTTACCGTCAAGAAGGTGAACTCGCGTTCTTCGCACACTGTAGACAAGGGCAAAGAGATAAAAATGGATCTAAATCCGAATAAAATCAGCACACGTTTCCGTAAATGAAAGGGTGAGCATAAGCAAATGAATCGAAGGAAACAGGTCAACTCAGAGATCACCTGTCATCGAGTATTCCGTAAAAGGAGGCCTCGGCAGCGGAAAAGCTAAATTTAGAAAAGAGATCCTGTCAGCTTTTCCATTATTTATTGCATTCCGCCCAAAATCAGCACACTTTTCGTAAATGAAAGAGTCAACACAAGCAAATGAATCAAAGGGAACTGGTCAACTCACCTGTCATTGAGTAATATTCCGCGAAAGGAGGTCTCAGCAGCGCCGAAACGAAATAAGCCAGGCCAGGAGACGAAATATTCCAAACAGCTCATACAAGAAGCAGTTCCAAAGAAGGAAGTTCCTCGCGCATGCACATCCGAACACGGACTGCACTGCATGCAACACAATGACTGCCGGCTGCCGTGCACGTGCACAGCACGCGGCTACCACCCGTTGGTAGAATTCTAATACCGAGCACCTTACGTAGAGACTTACGTAGCCTAAGTGAAATACCGAGCACCTTACGTAGAAACTTACGTAGCATAGCGATGTCGTTTTTCTTGCCATGTGAACACAATAATAGGGAGGTTCTGCTATACGTGAAACGTAGAGAAATCACGTAGAGAGCAGGTATCTGGGTTAGAGTCTACGGCTTCGCGTGTTTTGGCTCCAGATTTCTACGCGGAGATGGGGTTCTCTACGTTGTGGCACACGCAGAGAAAATGCGTACGGATTTGCTGGGTATCGATCAACTGCATGCAGAAAACTGCCAAATATGGAAGGGGAAATTCCCAGTACACATTCCACGTGACTTCTCTAGGTGAAACGTAGAGCAGAACAGCATTTCTTTACGTTACGGGAACGCGAAGAAAGTTCGCGTGATTCTTTGCGTCGCGTTCCCAAAACGTAGAGCAGAACCTCCCTAGTAGAAAAGCTGACAGGATCGCTTTTCTAAATACTGTAATAATAATAATATTGCCAGTACGGTACTTTATACCCTTTCACTACACACACCGGAACTGTACTGCACGGCATCTACATGACTTTGTACGTGTGTAGATCTACCATGTCCATGATCTACTGCCTGACCTGTACACTGTGTACTGGGCTAGGCCGTAGAAAAATGTTGACTGCCACCGGTGCACCAGGCCGGCACCACTGCACCAGTGGCAGTGGCAGTACCTAGCCTACTACTACTGTACTATATACAGAAGCCTTGCTTGGTAGTTAAAGGGGAAGTATACCCTAAAATCAAATTTTCACCAGTTGTAGTCTTCTGGGTGCTGAGTCGAATGGTCTTGGTCCGAGGAAGCTGCGACGCTCCCTTCCTACTTGAATCCCAATCGAACTCGCGCACTTCCACCGAAACTGGGTGACTGCGCCCTACTAGATGGGGATTTGTATGCAAAATGTCACTAAAAGCGCCATTTCGTTCTTATAAAAGCACGGATGACCGCGATCGGCCCATATGTTGTAGTCTTTTGGACGCTGAGTCGACTGGTTTTGGTCCGAAAAGGCTGCGATGCAGCGTTCCTCCTTTATTCCCAATCGAACGTGGTTGAACAAGTGGTCACGTGCTCCTGGGTGCCCAAATCACCTGGTCACCGCGCCAGCAGGCGACAACTTTCACACCAAGGTTCACCTCGAGTTCAACTCGAGTGACAGGACTGCACCCAAAAAAGGTCAAACAGGCTAGTAAGTTGTACCCTGCAGGCACGGTGACCAGGTGACTGGTGTACGCAGGAGCACGTGACCGCTTGTTCAACCATGTTCGATTGGGAATAAAGGAGGAACGCTGCATTGCAGCCTTTTCGGACCAAAACCAGTCGACTCAGCGTCCAAAAGACTACAACATATGGGCCAATCGCGGTCATCCGTGCTTTTATAAGAACGAAATGGCGCTTTTAGTGACATTTTGCATACAAATCCCCATCTAGTAGGGCGCAGTCACCCAGTTTCGGTGGAAGTGCGCGAGTTCGATTGGGATTCAAGTAGGAAGGGAGCGTCTCAGCTTCCTCGGACCAAGACCATTCGACTCAGCACCCCGAAGACTACAACTGGTGAAAATTTGATTTTAGGGTATACTTCCCCTTTAACATGTTTTTCGATTTTGACAGCATGTTACAAGGCGAGGACGCGTAGTGCTCCTGACTACAACTTCTACAACACAAAAAAACGAAAATTATAAAAATCCTACCAACCCGTAGAGTAACGAGGGTCCGAACCTGGGTTTTCCCAATACGGTTCAAATGGTCGCAAGATCGGGACTCTGCCAACCGGTTTATGGTTGTAGTCAGGAGCACTACGCGTCCTCGCCTTGTAACATGCTGTCAAAATCGAAAAACATGTTTACTACTGTACTAGTAGTACTCCGTACTAGCCTAGGCTAGACCTACAAGTGCTGGCAACTGAAATCCGACCCCCTGAGCAAAGAATGTGAACCCTCAGGGGTCGGATTTCAGTTACCAGCAGGGAGTCGTAAAATACCGTGGTATTTTACGACTCCCTGGTTACCAGCACTGTACGATATAGCGCTAGCGCAGCATGCAGTGTGTGATGCAGGGAGTCGTAAAATACCCACGACTAGTCGACTCCCGATGATGGCGATATCCATGATATCCCTGTACTGGTGTCGTGCATACCGAACGTAGAGAGATCTACCCCTGTGTAGATCTGTAGTGTAGAGCGTTTTTTGTTGTTGATAAAATCGCAGAGACGCTGATCAGCTGAGCTGAGTGCTCTGGTCTAGTCTGGCAACGGTCGAGCTGGGCCATGTCCTGTCCTGGTGCATGGTGCCTTGCAGCTTGGTGGGTGAAGGAAGAAAACGTTTGTATGAAATGTCAGTCCCGTAGTGCCGTACTGTAGAAAGGCACCGGCGCCCCGCTGAACCGTAACGACGCTACGTAAGGTTGCAAGATTCCAGCCTTTCCAGGTCGGGTCGTCGGTAGTCGTGCTCCCGCAGGTTTTCGGAGCTGTGCCGGAAGGCGACGGAACTGGCTTGTACTCGTACGGTCTCGTCGCTGTTGTGTGATTGCATTCCGTCACTAGCTGCTAGCGAGTTGAAGTCCTCCTATCTGCGCAGTAGTACTAGTAGCGGCTGCAAGAACTAGGAAAGTGTTCACTCGTTATCTGTTGTCCGAGCGGCGATGGCTTGGACATCATCGGCTGGGGGCACGGACGGCAATCGTCCTCCTCGCCCGCTCGTCGACCTGGCCGAGCAGCTTGCGCTTGCGGCTGCTGCGGATTTCGCACGTCGTCTAGCTGATCTTGTTGTGCTGGAAGATGCGCCGAGCGGCCACAGCGGAGCAGATCCGGCATCCGCATCGCCAGCAGTGGAAAGGAGCCGCTCGACGGGAGCGAGCACTCCCGACGGAGAATTGGATCGTGCGGATGCTGAGGAATTGGATTTGCTCCGGAGTCGAATGCACTCGCTAGCCACCCTATTTTCCGACAAGTTTACCGCGTGCGTGGACGAGCAAGTGACGACTCTGTGGAAGCAGCAGCTGCAGAATGACGACGAGCGGCCTGAGGGTAGCGACGCAGCCGCTGCGGGAGTTGTACCGATGAAAAAGGTAAGCGCTACATTTTGTGTGGCACATGCCTCGGACTCGTCGCTCCTTAGCCTCATACCCATAGCATACATGTAGGGGTTCACCCACACCACGATAGCAAGTCTCTCTTCCCGAGGTCGCTTGTGTTGATGGTACCTAGTACAATGCACAAAATTACAATGCCATTATGAATTTGTGATGAATTGGGGACAATCCATCCATGCAGCTCCCTTCTTTGATTTGTCCGGTGTCCGACGCTAGTGCACTAGTGGATCGTAGATCACGGCTTGCTGGCTGACAGCTCAGATCTGAACATTTCAAACTGTGTCACTTGCTTGTACAATGTAGTTACTTGCTAACAATACATCTCTTGCTAACATCTCATCAAAGCACTCGAATCCCAGAAATTAGTTTTAGGTGCTCAACATGTTTTTAGCCCTTTGAGGGTCGAGCTATTTTCAGAGAATGTGCACGTTTGGGAGGATTCACATGGAATGCGTTTATCTCAAAACCTATAAGTTATTTGTAAAATACATTTTCTGAAAGGGTTTGAAAGGGTTTGTTCATCCGATTAAAAACAACAACAACAAAAAACCTGTCCTCAGAATAATGTGTAGAAGGAGCCAAAATGGGCAAAGTGTCCAGCTGAACAACCAAAATGCTTTATGCGCACATCAGACTCGTTTGGTATGGTTTACCGTGCGCGTGATGTGGCAGATCTTACAAGTACTGTAAAACATGTAATTTTAGGTGTACTAAAATTTCGGCTTCAAGGACCTGACGGGTTTCAGGTGTAATATAGAATTAGGTGACCAGCATTCCCTGCACATACAGTGCATACTCTGGTGCCTTTTAGGTGTAATTTAAGTTTAGTACGAAGTAGAGGTTGCGACTTCGGCGATGATTTTGTTTAGGAATGGGTTTAGGTGCTGGTTTTCACTACCGAAATCACCGAAATTAAAGTGACACCGAAAATATTGTGTTTTACAGTATATACATAGTTTTAGTTCACCCAACTCGCAACACACAAACAATCCTCGGCTACATCACGTACAGCAAATTGTCCAAATTTTAAACCAGGCGGGCATCATCAGGGATATCCCTGATGATGCCCTCCTGGGTGAAAATTTGGACACGTTCCTGTGGTGTAGGCAAGGACTGTTTGTGGGTTGCGAGTCGGGTGAACTGGAAAAGATGACGAGGCTACATTGGAGTTTCAATGCTCTTCTGTACACGGTGCTTGTCACCAAGATCATGTAATGACCCTATCAAGCGAATCACTGCATATTCACCATGTAGGCCGTGGGGATAAGAACATCTCTCGTATATATTGAGAAGCAATTCAATTTCACAGCTGAGACTTTCAGCTTGTGCTTGTCTTGGTTGCGCTCACCTTCCCCTCATATGTTATCGTATAAGTTAGAACCGTCCACGTTGGAAGGCTGTTGGAGTGCGCATCCGAGATGTGCTAGAGCTGTTAGCCAGTTAGTTGTAGAACGTCAGTACCGTCGGTCAGTGTCGTGCAATGTTATCGCATGAGCTGATTTACTTAGTAACTGGTTGTGTTAGTGGGCATTATAGGGTAACTTGTAGTTCCTCGGTCCTTTTTTCTATAAATTTATCCTTGGCTCTCCATAACCCTCCACGTTGGAAGGCTGTTGGAGTGCGCATCCGAGATGTGCTAGAGCTGTTAGCCAGTTAGTTGTAGAACGTCAGTACCGTCGGTCAGTGTCGTGCAGTGTTATCGCATGCGCTGATTGTTTAGTAACTGGTTGTGTTAGTGGGCATTATAGCGTAACTTGTAGTTCCTTGGTCTTTCTCTTTTCTATAAATTTATCCTTGGCTCTCCATCCGAGTCAATTCAATTGATGTTTGTTTTATAGAGGTTTGGCTGTATGTGATTTTCGGTGTATTGCTTCCAGGGAGCCAAACTTCGGCGTTCGTTCAAGAAGAAGTTTGGTCGCAAGAAGCACAAAGAGAGTCCTGAAGCGGAGGCGGAGCGAAAGCAGATGAAAAAGCTGGAGAAAGAAGGTAGTCCTTCTTGTGCATGGCCGTGGTGATCTCTGCGTCCGTATTGGACCATGCCTACGAACCTCTTGTACGGGCAAAATACCATTATGATAAATGAATAGAAAATGCAACTAACGCCGAAAAGAACTCAAAGCAAATGAAAAGAACCCAAAGTTAAAGGAAAGGAACCCAACCAGCTGCACGTGGAGTACACAAAGGGCAAGAGCATAAATAAGTAAATCTTCTCAAAGAACGTAGCAGCGAAATCCATGAATTCAAACCGGAACTTGGGCCTCCGACACAGCCAGTGCAGCAGACGAAGCACCAGCCTCCAGAACCACGGGACGTCCGAACAGCTTCCTGCAGTCTCGGAGACAAACTAATACAAGACCTAAGTAGCGAGAAAGACAACTTAGATCGAACATAGGCCATGATGTGACAATACTGCTCGGACTTCTTTGCTGCCAGAAGAGCGGCCACCCTTGCATACAATGCGCATGCCGCCTTCCCCATACCTCCACTTGCCGCCATCACCACTGGAACGAAAGATGCGCCACATTCCTGACAAGTTCCTCTTCATATCCATAATAGCTCTCCCACGTTCTCCCTCTCTTCTTGTGTTCGCTCTCCCCCCCCCCTCTCTCCTTCTTTTTCTCTCTCTCTCTCTCTCTCTCTCTCTCTTTCTCTCTCTCTCTCTCTCTCTCTCTCTCTCTCTCTCTCTCTCTCTCTCTCTCTTTCTCTCCCTCTCTCTCTCTCTCTCTCTCTCTCTCTCTCTCTCTCTCTCTCTCTCTCTCTCTCTCTCTCTCTCTCTTTCTCTCTCTCTCTCTCTCTCTCTCTCTCTCTCTCTCTCTCTCTCTCTCTCTCTCTCTCTCTCTCTCTCTGTCTATCTATCTCTCTCTCTCTTACGCACTTAATCTGTCTCCTCCTCCTAGGTTCATGGCAGAGTGGCCAGTCACCAGACAACATACGAGTGCATGCTCATTTGGGTACCTAAGGATGTATTGTAAAGGTGTGCTAGAAACGACAATTATGATCTTGGGTCGCAGGCGCCTCTTCGTGGGTTGAGCACTTTCGCAAGTCAACGGCAAATCTGCTTCATGTGTATAAGACTATAAGTGTGTCACATTGAGCATGTATTTTTTGCTTGTGCACACATGTGTATATGCTGGTTGCCCTCACTGAAATCCGACCCAAAGTGCAAAGCTGGCACCCTGGACCAGTTCCGATTACATCATTGTGGGTGTACATGTGTACGTCCAACCGCATTCGTACTTCTACCAGGGTGGCAAGGCCTTGGCAAGTTGAGGGTGTCAAATATGCACTCTTGGTCGGATTTCGCTGGGTGTCATCGTATAATGGGTATGATGTTTTCATGCGCTCCTCTGTAATGTACACACTGTCATCCGTGCTGCCGCTAGGTCCTCTCAAACAGCTAATCGACATCGACGGCACGAGCATCCAATGGGTGAAGTGCCGCGTGAGCTTGAAGCGACAACCCGGTGGTTTCATGCTCAGCTTCTTCTCACCACCAAAGGTAGGTGGTGTCCATCAAGCATTGTAAATCCTTCTCGTATACCACCTCACTGGGTGCGTTCGATTCTGCCCGCGAATCGATTCATGAATCCACACATGAATCGCCCCTGGGTATTCACATATCACCCCATGTGAATAGAGTGGATTCCGAATCGATTCCAGGGCTCGTGACATGAAATCGAACGGTGAGATTCCATTCATGAATCGATTCAAGTGCGTAATCCAACGCACTCACTATTGTACACGACGCCCACCGCTTTTAAAGTTCAGGAGCTGCATCTGCGCGATGATCCTGGGGGGGGGGGGGGGGGGGGGGGGTGCTATGGATGCCGAAAACTCGGCTTTCCAGTCACGTCTCACGCAAACGGTGATTTTTATACATCACAGTGTGCATGAGTGTACAGCACTGTTGAGCGCCGTAGAACGGAGCGCCGAAGAACGACCAGGTTAGAATTTCATCAAGCACAGCACACCAATGCACTGCTGAGTGTATACGGTAGCCTGTGATGCGTGAAAATAAGAACGGTCTAGGCTAGGAGGCCGACCCCCCTAGTTCTACGGCGACCGACAGTACGGTATAGTTGCAGGGCTTCGCATCCCATCGCGGCGCACCCTCTCTAGACCCGCACTGCATGCCTGCGCTTCAGTACTTGGACCGTTGGACTTGCTCAATGCCGTCAAACTGGTCATGCGGGTCTTCCCGGAAAAGGGGAGAGAGATTCAGAAGGAATCTTGGGAAGAGAAAGCATCAAAACGTTCCGAGTTTTGACCAACACCCCCCCCCCCCCCCCCCCACACACACACACACCCACCCTTACAATCGAGCGTGACTTATTACTGAAGTGAATATTGAAACGACATGACATGTTTAGAGTAGAGCCTACACGCTCTCTTCCATTGACACTGCAATAGCTCAACTCATTTCACAATAATCATTGCAACGTTTCGACATGACATGGACCTGTAAATGGGGGTGGGACTTAAAATCGAGGAAATACAGTACTGCCACTCACCATCTCCCATCCACTGTCCGTCTAGTTCTCATTGGACATCTTGTTGCGCAATGCTGTGTTGGTGCTGCTGGTGTTGCTACTGCTGCTGCTACTGATGCTGCTGCTGTTGCTGCTGCAGTCCACACACCCGCGCAGTGGCATATTCTGCTTTCTCATCACGGAGGTTCGGCAGACGACGCATGAAGAGCTTCCCGACACGGAACACAGCTTCGTCGTGCGGGTGAGGGGTAATGGCGTAGTTGTACCTGCTTCATCCTCTGTCTATCTATCTATCTATCTATCTATCTATCTGTCCTTGGCTTTGAACTTGCCTACATTTGCCTACGTTTGCCTACAGACACACACGTCCATGCGCACGCTTGAGCGCACGCAAACACACACACACACACACACACACACACACACACACACACACAATGTATGGTGTAAAAAATGCACTGCTTTCGACACGCTCGTTTTTCGCCGCTCGCTAAACTTCCGATCATACGTGTGTGCATGTGTGTGTGCGTGTGTGTGTGTGTGTGTGTGTGTGTGTGTGTGTGTGTGTGTGTGTGTGTATGTGTGTGTGTGCATGCGCGTGTTCATGTATGTTACTGTGCACTGTCCGCAGGGGGAGAATAATATGGAATACATTCTGCTGTGCCACAGCAACACCGACATGTGGTCGTGGATAGCCGCGCTGCGCGAGTGCTCACGACTGGATTCCGTAAAACGGTAATCTAGCGTGCACTGTGAAACTTGTCTACGGCGGCCGCTCAAGCTAGCGTACACTGTGAAACTTGTCTTAGGTGGCCGCTCAAGGGACCTTCAAAATGTGATCTCTGTGATCAGGTGGTCTCCTTATCCAGTGCCATTTGACTGGAAATTGCACCCCTTTGTCCTGGCTGCAGTGGATGTGTGGACATGATGTCTGGGCTGTGAGGTCTATAGAGCTTTTCATGCTTGCCAAAGCCTGCATGTACATACTGGTTGTAGGGCAAAGGCGAGTACAGTCAAACCTGACTTTACATAGTAACCGCACACATCCATTTCCACAACAACAACATATTCGGATAGGCGAGGGAACTGGATACTAGTAATCCAACACACATAATGTATGCGTACATGACATATGCTGTAAATCGGTGACTCACGATTTACTTCCGGATGGCGAGCCGGAGGGATCCGGATAAAAGAGAACCGGATAAACGAGGTCTGACTGTATTGGTGAACAGGTATGACTCAGAAGCTGCACTGCATGCAAGCACACAAAGGTCAAGTGCTGGTGAACACCACGTGATCAAAATAAAGAAAAATAAATAAAGTAAACTATAGTCTGTTTCAAAAAGATTTACAATCAGGTTTGGGTCTTAAAAAGTATGAAGATAAGGGAAATTTGGACAACAAAGTACATAGAATGGCTTGTTAGGACACGGCAAATTGTTCTGTGAAGGTTTCGGAACAATTGGAGCAACCGTTAAGGAGTTAGAATTTCGGCCAGGTTTCCGGCCTTTTCCCATGGTTTACAATTTGCCCAGGAAGCCAGTATCGATTTTTTATCAAAACCCACGATTTATCCTTTCCTTTTTGGCCTTGTGGTTATGAATGCTGTCTGCTGACCATGAAGTTGTGAGTTCAAATCCCAACCTCTCCTCAAGTCAAACTTTTTTTTCATTGTTTTGATGATCAAGCTGGTACAAGACAAAGAAGATGGCTGCACGAAACGACTTGTTGTTGGAGCTCGCGCTTCCTGCCGAACTGACTGACACTTGACTGGCTCACGCCATGTGAACACACCCACAACACTGCAATGGTGTGAGTGAATTATGATGGAAGTCATCGCGCTGTAGCTTTTTGAGATTTATTTTAGTATTTCAAGATCGCCAATTTATTTGAATTTAGCAGTCAACGCCGCCTTCCATCAGAGTTCACAAGCGTCTGCTTTCAAAATGTCGTCGAAGTCACACAGATAGCTTTGCCAAGTCATGGCCTTGGGAATGAGTCCGTGTCGATGTCGTTTTCGTCATACGGTGAGTAAATTGCATCGCAGCTCAAAGAAACTATTTTGGTCACAAAACGAATTGGGACTCATGCCGCTCGTCAACATTTACAACACTTTCGTTTCGACATGTCCTCTTGTCCTCTCTGACTCCATTATCGCGTATCGATACGAGGAAGAACTCGTTTGTTGTAAACCAGGCGTACATGACTGTATCAACGTGAGTGAGTTAGTTGTCATTTTTCCTGCTTTCGCGCGGAATATTTCTTTGAGTTCACAGTGAGTTTTTTCAGGCAGCGCTCGAGTGCTCATACGGTAAGACGCCAAACTCCGCGGGCGATCGCCAGGATTGCAAATCTTTTTGAAACGGACTGTAGCGTGTCAGTTGCCAAGGGAACTCACGACTGCCACTAAAAAAAAGTGAATAGTCAACAAGGAGATAATAACCGTAAATTAGCTAGGTGAGACCCGGCTGAAAGCCGACTGCCGCTAACACCTGGTAAATCCAGCAACAGATGCAGCACCTAACGGTGGTGGGGTGACCGAGGGGATACGTCTCACAACCACCGGTACAAGTGCCGAAACCCCATTAGCCGCATCCATCAACGTATGGTACATGTAAAAGCTCTATTCATGATACAGCGATTGCGCTGTCACCATGGTAACTTGTTGGTGTTGTGTGTGTCCCCTGTGTATGATGCAGGAACATCAAGACGGGCGAGAACGGTGCAGGTCTGTATGGTACGTACTCGTATACTCCAGCGGCGGACCAAGCGATCTCTACAGGGGGGGGGGGGGGGGGGGGGGGGTTCCAGTATAGGCAGAACTGAATAGCTGATACATGTACATGAACACGCATGTGGTTGCCAGTACGACATTATGATACGGAATTTAGGGGGTTCCGCGGAACCCTTGGAACCCCTCCTGGATCCGCCCCTGCCCACTGAATGGTGGTGGTCACGTGATGAACATGTGGAACATCTCTATTGTACAGTTGCTACTTTCATTGCTGCTGCTGCTGTTGCTGCTGCTGTTGCTGCTGTTGCTGCTGCTGCTGCTGTTGCTGCTGCTGTTGCTGCTGCTGCTGTTGCTGCTGCTGCTGCTGCTGCTGCTGTTGCTGCTGCTGCTGCTGTTGCTGCTGCTGCTGCTGCTGCTGCTGCTGCTGTTGTTGCTGCTGCTGCTGATGCTGTTGCTGCTGTTGCTGTTGCTGCTGTTGCTGCTGCTGTTGCTGTTGCTGCTGCTGCTGCTGCTGCTGCTGTTGCTGTTGCTGCTGCTGTTGCTGCTGCTGCTGTTGCTGCTGCTGCTGCTGCTGTTGTTGCTGTTGCTGCTGTTGTTGCTGTTGCTGCTGCTGCTGCTGTTGCTGCTGCTCAGTGCTGCTGCCACTCCTGCTGCGTACAGTCACACATGTTCACAGTTTTTTGTGTTGATTTTGTCCTTGGTTTTTGCTCCACCTTGCGGCGGGCTTTGGTGCAAAGAACAGGCTTGTGGAGTTCAATTCCAGCATGTTGCTTTCACTTCCATGTAATGCGCGTGTGTGTGTGTGTGTGACAAAGTTTTGACACGTGGGCACCGTGATGGGTCCTGCGTGAAAATGCACGTAAATGTACACAGTGCGTATGGGTTATAGCGTGGTCGTGTGAAAGAATATACTGCCTACAAGAATATACTCTCATATTTTCATAATCATAACATGGGTTTCATGTGTATATTTATTCTTACAAGCAATGTTATCGTGTAATAGAATATATCGGTCCTAAGAATGGACTTTGTGTAGCAAAACATGCCAGATCAGTACAAAGTGTATCGCCTGTAGTAATAACATCTGCCCGATACAGCTCTGGACCGACTCGAATTGCATCATAATGCTGCAAGTGCATCTGTTGTGGTCATGTAACTCATGTTGCTCAGCCACATGGTGAACCTATGGCCCAGTATGGGACTACTTTGGAAGTATAAGCAACCGCATACACAGTAGCACTATGTTGCATGTATGATGATCTTCCTGGCTATGCGCTCATGTATATGATACGTCACACTATATTTATCGTGTGTAAGAACTATCGGAAATAAGAATAGAAAGTCGTTTTTCAAACACCCACGCTATAACCGATACCTACTTTACTTGTAGATTGCCACGTATTGACTAGACCTTGGTAGCAGTCCGTGCTCTAGCAGTCATGCTCACCACTCTCCCTTCTCCCGTCCTCTCCTCCCTTACCAATCCTTTCCCCTCCTCCTCCTCCCCCTCCCCCTCCCTCACTTTCTTTCCTCTGCCTTTATGGAGCTGCAATCACGTCCACACTGTCTCTCCGGGTGTACTTGTCCTCATGGATGCAGTCTGATGATGAGGAGCCTCATCCCCTCTCCTCCCTTCCTCAGGCTCTTCCCTGTCCCCTGCCGCTCCTGTCTCCTCCCGCTCTCTTCCCCTTCTATCCCCTCCCTTCCCCCTTCCCATCCCCTCCCTTTTGTGGAGCTGCAATCACACCCTAACCGCCTCTAGTATTTGGTGCGTATTCTTGTCCACCACAGAGGTGCAGTCGGATGACGACGATGACGACGAACCTCCTCCGCCGCCACCACCTCCGGACAACGCATCCGGCGACGGCATCGACCCTCCACCTCCGCCACCGGATGGTGTTAGCAATGTACCGCACCCACGTGCTGGTGCTGGTGGTGGTGCTGGTGCTGGTGGTGGTGGCAGTGGATTGAAAGCATCTACAAGCGCTAGTAGTCTGGATGGTCTGATTTCTCCGGTTCCAGCCTTGCCAGTGAGTACTGGAAAGTGAGAAACTTTTTTTTTACATGTTTTACTGCCAGAAGTCGTCTTCATATAAGGAGGCAGATATGCCTGTTTGTTGTACGACTTTAAATCCAACCAACCAACCAACCAAGCTTTTGCTAGAGATTTGATTTTGCAATTTTCGCGCCGATCACATATCTGATCACATATCCATTTAAAATCTCGCATCACGCTGCTTCATCAGTAAAATTTGGCTTGTGAGCAACACTGGCTCACACTCAATCACTGCGTTTCACAAAATCATTTCAGAAAGAATTGCACATGATTGCGCACACTGCTCTCTGTATATTGGTTGTAGACAATACAAGATCCAACTGAATAGATGAAATCGCGAAAGTTTCTCGTCGTGAACCGGCACAGTTCTTGAAAACGCGAAATTTGTGCGCCGCGAAAGTTTATCGCTTTCCAGTACTTCGAGTAGTATGCAATACACACACGCATGCTCAATAAAACTTGATTTAATGGTTAAATGTGAGGTCCGCCGTGACCAGTACATGTACTGGCATTGCCTTGTGTTAGTGCCCTGCACCAGTGCACAGCCCAGTGCACAGCCCAGTGCACAGCCCAGTGCGCAGCCCAGTGCGCAGCCCAGTGCACAGCCCAGTGCACAGCCCAGTGCACAGCCCAGTGCACAGCCCAGTGCGCAGCCCAGTGCGCAGCCCAGTGTATGCCAGTGCGCAGCCCAGTGCACAGCCCAGTGCACAGCCCAGTGCACAGCCCAGTGCACAGCCCAGTGCCCTGCGAAATGTTATGTACAGAGAAGCAGTTCCCTATTGGATTACGTGTGTTAGTGCTTCTCGGCGCGTCACAGCTTTGCCCTTGTTCCGAAACACGACAAACATTTGGGAAGAAGGTAGCTCAAGAGCTGTTGCTTCGATTTATAGTTCTTTTCTCGTTGCCTGGCACGAGGAAAACATGGATGCAGTGAATGGGATATTCGGTCTTTGACCACTTGCTGGTGAGCTGATCTACTCACCTCCCACCGCTTTAGGAGCTGCATGTGCGTCTTGATCCTTGAAGGATGGTGGCGTTCCTACGGATGCGGAAAACTCAGCCTCTAGCCGAGTCTGACACGAACCGTGAAATTTTTTTAAATAGTTTTTCTATGGTATTTGTGTTCCAGGACGGAAATGAAGGCATTCGCCGGCAGCCGTCGGTGGATTCAGCCGGTTGCGATAACATCTCTCAGTTCCTGGAGCCACTGCAGACGCAGCCATGGTTCCACGGCATGCTGTCCAGGCAGGTGAGAACCTCAGGGCTGTTGATGTGTCGTCGCCACTGTTGTATTGTTTCTCGGGCCCACCGACGAAATGTTTTGCTCGTGCGGCTGGGGCTCAATTCGAACTTTTTTAAAAGGGCTTAGACGTCAAAGTAAAGCTATTTTTAATAGTGTGTTTTTCTTCTGCCTAACTCTGTTGCTGTGTGAATGTGGTGTCAATGTGGCGTGTGTGTGTGCACGCGCACGTGTGAGTGTGCGTGTCCTATTCCGATGTGCTTCGTGTGGTGTAGACCAGGTGTGCATAGGGGGGGGGGGGGGGGGGGGGTCACATGGCTTCGCTGGTTGTGTGGATTAGACCGTTATCTGGCGCTAATCTTGATCTGTTCCATTCAGACTCCCATCCGGTAACGTTGCTATAAGAGGAAATCTGTGGGTGCACAACCAGTGCATTTGTGTGCTTCTCTTGCGACGGGCTTACCCATACAGGATGTGTGTGTATGCCCGTGTGTGTGTATGCCCGTGTGTGTGTGTGTATGCCCGTGTGTGTGTGTGTATGCCCGTGTGTGTGTGTATGCCCGTGTGTGTGTATGCCCGTGTGTGTGTGTATGCCCGTGTGTGTGTATGCCCGTGTGTGTGTGTATGCCCGTGTGTGTGTGTGTATGCCCGTGTGTGTGTGTATGCCCGTGTGTGTGTGTATGCCCGTGTGTGTGTGTATGCCCGTGTGTGTGTGTATGCCCGTGTGTGTGTGTGTGTATGCCCGTGTGTGTGTGTGTGTGCATGCCCGTGTGTATGCCCGTGTGTGTGTGTGTATGCCCGTGTGTGTGTATGCCCGTGTGTGTGTGTATGCCCGTGTGTGTGTATGCCCGTGTGTGTGTGTATGCCCGTGTGTGTGTATGCCCGTGTGTGTGTGTATGCCCGTGTGTGTGTGTGTATGCCCGTGTGTGTGTGTGTATGCCCGTGTGTGTGTGTATGCCCGTGTGTGTGTGTATGCCCGTGTGTGTGTATGCCCGTATGTGTGTATGCCCGTGTGTGTGTGTATGCCCGTGTGTGTGCCCGTGTGTGTGTGTATGCCCGTGTGTGTGTGTATGCCCGTGTGTGTGTATGCCCGTGTGTGTGTGGCTGACATGGCGAATTCTGTGCTCGTGTTCTCACTTGAACTTTCCGACATTCGCTTTCATTGCGTATGCAATGGGCAAGATCAAGGTCAAGGTGGCTGTCTATATGTGTGCTTGTGTGTGTGTGTGTGTGTGTGTGTGTGTGTGTGTGTGTGTGTGTGTGTGTGTGTGTGTGTGTGTGTGTGTGTGCATTCGTGCATGTGTGCACGTGTGTTTGCCCACGTGCAGGAGGCCACGATGCTGGTTTGCCAGGGCGCGTCGCAGGCACACGGCACATTCCTGGTACGACAGAGCGAGTCCAGACAGGGGCAGCTGGTGCTTACTTTCAACTGTCGTGGACGAGCCAAGGTAGGCATGTTACCATGACTACACCCCCCCCCCCCCCCGCCCCGTAGTGAGAAACTCCAGTTTATGGGGCTGCGTTGGCAGAACTTCACATCACGTGACAAACTTGTACACATTAGCTGGACCATGTGCATGCTAGATACAGGGTTGTGTACGCTGCTTTGAGACCCTGCTTTGCGTTTAGTTCTGGAGGTGGGCACTTTGCTGAGTGAGTAAAACAATTGTGCATTGTCCTTAAGAATCGGTGTGTGTGTGTGTGTGTGTGTGTGTGCGTGCGTGCGTGTGTGTGTGTGTGTGTGTGTGTGTGTGTGTGTGTGTGTGTGTGTGTGTGTGTGTTCCCATGCTTGCATGACCCATGACTTGCTCGTGACCATTGACAGCACATGAGAATGACAATAATACGCGGAGGCCAGTGCAAAGTGCATCAGTGGACGTTTGACAATGTCTTTCACATGCTAGACTACTTCAAGGTAAGGGCAACAGCCGCCAGCGACTCTGCCGAGTCTTGTGTTGCTGTTTTTCATGAACGAGTGTGCATGCTCATGTGTGCGTAAATGAGTGTGTGCGTGTGTAACATGCAGTGCTGCCAAACCGTCCGATTTTCGGACAGTGTCCGATTTTTGAAGGCTCTTCCGAAAACCGGTCCGAAAAGGGAAACGTCCGAAAAGGAGCCAAAATGTCGGAGATCATTACTTTCCTATGCAGAAGTCCTGTACTTTCACTTTTCAGCGCAACTGAAGGCACAAATCACTGTACATTTGCTTCTAAAAAGACTAGCTGCTTGGCTGTGGAAGTGCAAAGTAACATGCCTGGATCAGGCTGGTTGGCATGCACGCTGACAGTCTGTACAGAGTCAGTGTGCGACCACACTCATCATTACAAAATTCATGACAACCCCGGGGTTACCATGGCAACGAAGCGAATTTTCATGGTGTTTTAGGCGATATTTTGAATTCTCTGTAAAAAAATTGCAGAGGACAAAAATTCGCACCATGTGGCCAGCCTTGCTT